GATAAGAACCAACTGGAATATCCATACGTGAGCTAAAACTTTTATTATCAAGACCAATAAATAAACCAATACTATTATCACTAGCCTGAGCTACGATTAAATCTAAGTTATTATCATTATTTAAATCAACACTTCCGACAAATTGAGGATAACTAGCAGTTTGAAATATTATCGGTGTTTGAAAGGTTCCATTTCCTTGATTAAAATAAATTCCAAGATTTGCATCATTTGCATTGAGAACGATTATATCATTGTTATTATCATTATCTAAATCAGCAATACTAATTGACCCTGGTTGATTTCCAGTCGAGTATGATACATATGGACTATAAGTTAATGATTGACATGAAGAATCTAAATTTATAAAATAAAACATTATTTCGATGCAATAATTAAGGTGTGTGTGTGGGTCTGAGTATACTAAGATATATTCACACCCACACCCTCAGGAGAAACTTTAGACCATTTTTGAATCTTGGAGTCTCTAAAAATCCAGAAAGACGGTGTCTGGCAACTCAGATTCTAGAAGAACTTTTGCTTTACTATTTGTGACCTATCTATAGTAGAAGTTTCAAGAATTTTCGCCTTGTCGTTTTCTAGAAATCCCGAAAAGGGGGAGGGGGTGGGTTTTCCTTAAGAGACAATGATAGATGTAAGGGGTTAGGCGTAGTTTTAAGCCGTACAGAATAGATACCGGATTAGGAGCTTAAAGGTTTTCCAGAACTTCGAAAGGTTTAATAGGTTTTCGTGACTAATAATGAATATACCAATATCAGTGTATTCAGGATTTTTGAATTGTCAAATACTCTCGCTCGGAAACCTCTTTATGGCCTTGAAGACGTTTCACGAGACTCTAGGGACTTTATGAGAACAAATAGCTTTGGGGAGCTAGAAGCACTCCACCAGTCTTTTCGAGACTTTATTATTCTTCAAAACTGATGTCTTCGCTGCTTTTTCTAGAGGAAATAACAAAGAAGAGTTGCCATTACAGAATTGTGCTGTTCGTTAATAGAACTGAGGTCATAAATGTTATTCTGTAAATATTTCAGTAGGTAACGTAAAAAAATTTTACACTTAAGAGATTATATCTTGAGGGTGTGGCGATGGATATGATTGTGAGTGTGGGTATGGATATGATGTGTGTGGGTAGGTGTGGATGTCATTGTGATTTTGTGATGGATGTAACGCTCAAGCTCATACTCAAACCAACACCATCCACATCCTCACTCATCCAACACTTACACCCTCACATCAACCTCATATCCACACCCACTCAACAAATCATTCTTTACCTTTACAAGTGCCAGAAACACAGCTGCTGTTGGCACAATCACCAGCAACAGAACAGGCTCTCCCAATACCACACGGTGAACAGTTCAAACCTCCGCAATCGATATCTGTCTCTCCATTGTTCTTTATAGCATCGTTACATGCTGCACCTATTATCAGAGAAGAAGCAGTGAATCTTTTGACTAAAGGCTCTCTCGAGCAATATTATACTTACCTACACAGGTGCCATTGGCACACTGAACATTATTACAATCTTTTGTCAGTATGCACTTTTTACCCACAGCACATGTAAGACATGAACCTCCACAATCGATGTCCGTTTCATCACCGTTCATAATTCCGTCACTGCAGCTTTTATCTAGAAAGAGGGCAAAGATTTAAGAAAACCGTGCGACTCAACAAATCATTCTTTACCTTTAGTAAGTGCAGATACCTCTCTAGCACTGAGTTCTCGTGAGTAAACACGAAACTCATCTAAATAGCCAGAAAATATACCTGTTACAATTGACTGTGAATTACATCCGCCACCACCTAGTGAGTTGCCCAGTATCAGAATAATCGCTGTATCTGGTGCATCATTGGACTGTGGAGCTGTACTACCAACAAATACTCCATTAACATACAATGTAAGCCCATATGTTTGTGAATAGGTAGTGGCAATATGTGTCCACGTGTTGACCGATAGAATAGGACCTGTTACCTGGTTTTGTGGCGCCCAAACAGTAGCAATTATATTACCAGCAGAGGAAAATCCTATTGGAACAATACACCATCCTTTACCATTTGTTTGTACCGAGTAATGCACAAGAGTTCCTCCACCTGTCGATGTTCGTTGTACCCATAGAGACATTGAAAATGAACTGCTTTTGACTCCAATAAGGACATATCCGGGTATCTAAATAATTATTGTATAATGCATGACCTTCTCATAGTTTGGAACGTTTTTAAGCTTCCTTATGCTACTTTCTTCAGCAAATAATCTGTAATTAATTTACTAGAGAAAATTTCTTGAAGCTTCTAACGAGCCTTCAGTTAACGATACAATTTTGATCAAAAATGCTAGTAAACATAATTTATTTCTTTTGAGATATCGTCACAACAATATTCTACAAACGTGCACATAGACATTAATTGTAAAATATATGATAATACTTTTCGAATTACCTTTGAATCAATGAAACGGCACATATTACTTTGCTTGCTCATCTTGACCATTCTTATGCATGGCATACAATATGTTTTTGTATTTTAGCTATATATATTTAATCCTTAAAAGTCGGATAGTCTTCCACTCATAAAAAGAACAAATGAACCACAAAAACAAAGACTATGGATCTTCCATATACTCATACCAAGCCAAAAAAAAGAAATTCCGATACTCTCCCTTCAGAGTTATGCACTGCCCTAAGATAGGAATATCTGAGCTTGTAAAATGTCACAAGATAGTAATTTTAATCTGAAATTTTGGTCATAAATAGGTTTCATAATCCTTAACTTGCTCTGAAATGTTTACTCGAATCCGATGGGTTCTTGTTGAGATACTTGATATCCGAAAAAATCAGTCATATTCTGCAAAAACTTACTAAAATCGATGTTTTCTTGATATTCATTATCTTAAGAAAGAAATGGCTGTTATTGTTGAAAATTTGTAAACACTAAATATCGTTAGAACTACGTATACGCTCAAAGTTCGGATTAAAATCTCTTTGTTTTGTTTTTCCTATATAGCTATATATTCCATTGGAGGAAAACTGTTTCTTGTTGGCATAATTTGCCAGTACATTATTTAAAATTTTTAACTTAAAAATTTATAGAATGGCTCCATTAAGTACCTTGCTAGTATATTTAAGGATATTTTATAAAATAAACAAGGCTGCACGTATCATTTACGAGTAAAACAAAACTTTCAAAAGAAGAAAAATGATGTTAAAAAAATCATTGACCATAAAGAATCTCTTGTTCTGGCTAATAATTAGTTGATAATTTTATTTTAATCTCAATATGTTCTTCAAGATCGTGTTTATCGAGAAAAATACTTGTTTCTGTATATGAGACTTTCTCATGGTTTTTATTGCAATTATTCAAATGTTTTTTTCGAGAGAAGCTTCGGTTTTTAAGTGGTAACGCTCTAGTATGGAAATTGCATGAACTCTTGTGTCTCAGGTTTTCTCTTTCATACAGTATTAATAGTGAAAAGTTAAACTATGTCGATGACTTACCTGATAATAGGATGCACTCAAGCTGAAGTTTAATCCTTGATTCACTTTACCAGGTGCTAATGTGACACCAACAGGCTTTCCTTGGAGTTTATTTGGACCCGAATCATAAGTAATTCCACTATCAAATGAATGCCATGAGGCCAAAGTAGCATCGTTAAGAATGTCGTCAGCACTTTTAGCTGCCATAGTGAGTGACACTTGATCGATATAACTAAATATATAAGAACAACCTACAGTCAAAAAAATAAAGCGATGACTTGTGTTTTCTTTCAAGTTTTATACTATTTACTAAATGATCTGATTGATAAGAGATATGAAGGATCGAATCTACATAAATATGCGATGATTTTTGGTCATTCTCCGTAGCATTGCTAATAGTATAACAAAAAATAAAAATATGCTCTTCGACATAGCAGAAACAACACTTCTAGAGTTACATATTTCTAACTATTTTGAATATGGAGAAAGAATGATTCAGTCTTTTCTCCTCACCCATCAAAGTAGTCATAGCTGCTACCATTCTGGTACATCCCAATATTGATCGGACCGGCCATGCCTAAATATGGCTGATTTGAAATACGACTTGCATCTTGGTATCCATTTAAGTAAACAGATTGTGTTTTTGATGGATAATCGTAGACAAAGGCAGCGTGATACCAAGTGTATGTTGTCAGTGAAGTTGTACCAGTAACTCCATCAGCATAAAAGTCAAAGGTCAGTTGTAAACCTCGAATCATCATCTGTAACGAGTGGTCTCCTGCTGACGTATCATATTGAGTCAACAGTCCATAATAGTTACCATTGCTTAGAGAAGTAGGATAAATCCACATTTCCACTGTAAAACTGGTATTAACGAAGCTTGTATAGGCTGGTATTGTTACATACTGATGACTGCTACGAATGAGTTTCAGAGCATATCCACTACCAGTGATGCCAGGTGTTACATAAGTAGGTGAGTTGACACCTTTTCCATTAAGACCTGATATGATATCAACGGCATTCTTTTCCATTGGCCAGAAACTGTTAATTCCATTCGAATATGGGACCTCTGCAAAAGAAAATAAAAGAACAATATTAACACGTACGTTTTTTTCAAATCTGTATGCTACTATATCTTCTACTGGAACACTCAGTATGTCCATAAAATATGACGTCATGTTCGATTGTGTTAAAGATCGTTAAATACATGTTCAAAATCATTCTTTTACTCTACTATTTTAGTTTCTGTGGAAGTGAAAAACAGCTCAGACCAGATCGATGATAGTGTTGATGAGCCACAAATTAGAATCAACTGTGCTCTTCTGTGTGTGTCATTATCAGAAATCACTTGTGTGTGGGTATCAGGATGTGGATGTGGATAAGCACCGATAGAAATCAATTTTTGGAGGAAAAGCAATTTGGTGGATACTTTGATGTTCTCTTTCGCGTAGAGAATTATGTAGGAAGCAGAAACTTTTGCTTTCTTCCTTATGTTAGTTTTCACCTTGTACTGATTGGTACAAGGCTAGTTTGAGAAGAAACTGATTTTCAAATCGCAAACACGACTCCATTTGTGCCTGATATTGATTAGCATGTGAGTGCGTTTTAGGAGTGATGAAAAACGAAGGGCTCTGCTTTCGATTCTTTTTTTAAGGGACGTGGAAAGATGACATTTGTACGAGAAATAGCTAAGCTAGTTAATAGTCGAGCATTATATGCGTTATAAATGTGGAACGTTTTCGGCATAGGGAAGGTCATATGAAATAAAAAGCGTTTGCGTCTATCTGTCTGCTTCTGTGTCTAAATAATAGCAGTGATTGATTTCATTCAATGCCAAAAACTTCTAAAGGGTGGCTATTTGTTTTCGATGGTAGAACATCTGAACTGATCTTTATTTCTTTAAGAAAGTTGCAGTCGACGTCAGCGAGAAGCAGAGAGAGTAAACTGAGTATCAGTTTCTGGGTACATCATTCAACGTCCAGCAGTCGGGAGTGGCGGACCTGAGGGATGCTGACGACAGGCTAAGAGTTGAGTGCATGCTCTTTAAGAAAAATATAGTACGGACTCGAAGAAACAGGCGAGTAATGAGAAAGCACGAGATGATTATTCCCTTTTCTGAAAGAAAGGGTTATATCACGTTTAAATCATGGGCCTAAAATTGCTTAAAGTTTGTCTGTCTGTCCGCAGGGTCAAAAAAACATCGAAAATCGATTTTTCAGAAAAGACATTTCTAGAGGTTTTTCGATGCGTAGACTTCGAATCTGAGATCTATTGGGTGACCGTGTGGAGAGACGGGGGTGAAGAGGGGTGAAAGGTCAAAAAAACATCGAAAACTGATTTTTCACGGTTTCCATTTGTTTTTCCGGTAAATGGGAAGAAAATGCATTTTTATGAGAAAGAGCTAAACGAGTCCTCGGAGGAGCGTTACTTGTTGACACAATGGACTACTTTTTTACGAAAAAAATTTTCTTCTTGTAAACTTTGATCAAATGTAATTGGGGCCCAGGAATGCGAATCTGAGGTCAGATTTTTAAAATGTTTTTGCTCCTGATTTTTTTATACAAAGAATAGGTTTTTTTACGAAAAATTTATGCTGGGTGCGGTAGGTGTGGGTATTCACTTGCTAGACATGTGTTTAAAAACGGTTTCTGGCAGATTCAGAAAAATCGGATTCAAACGGGACCAGGGCGAGTACCACTTTTAATACGCGAGAACGAGATGGAGATGAGATAAAAAAACTCTATCCCGCTGGACCCTTGTTGATAGCTATAATCGGATTTTTCGGTAAAATTTAAATAGATAGTTAAAAAAAGGGAACAGCTGTTGGAAATTCTGCTGTTAGGTCGGCGTAGATACCAACTGTAGAATAACATTCAAAATAAAATAAAATCTTTTCTATAGCATAATGTAATGTAGTCTATTCGCACCAGCGTACAACATAATTCTCCTTTGCTTAGTTGCTTCTTGATAATTATAGTATCAAATACCTAGTATCCTTCTAAGAGAAATACACACGAAATGCAGGTCTTCACTTCAAAGCTGAACTAAGAATGGAGAAGATAGTAGGATCAAACACGGAAACGGCTAGCCGTGAGTGGCCGACCGAAGGGAGGCCGACGAATGACTAGACGTTGATTTGAAAGGTTTATCGAAAATATAATAAGTGAGATATGAGGTTTTATCAGAAATTGCTACGTGCTTCGGTTCTTGAGCGAAAAAGAAATCTTTACTACATATTTGACGCAACAAGACCTATTCAAT